GGGGGGGAAAAAACCCCCCCCCCCCCCCCCCCTATATTGAGGATGGACAGGGAAAGTTTCGGGTTAGACCACCTATACTCACCCCTCGGGTTGTTGCTTTCGCTGTGACACCCTCAACTTAGGTGAAGATTATATCAATCTTACTCTAAGGGGTTAAACAGGTTAAACTGGCCACAGTATCATACAACGATCTTAAGTCTAAATTTGTCCTAAGTTTTGACTTAGCCAATCACAGATAACGTCATGAAAAGTGACATCATACGTGATTGGCTGAGCAAAATCTTAAGTCTAAGATTGTTTCATGATCTCGGCGCCTGGGTACAATTTAGTGAAAGACGGGAGAAATTACACTGTTGTCTGACATCCCGAAACTGACGTCCCGATGATAACCTGTGTATTCCGAGTGTGTATTCCGATTGTGTATTCTGCATGTGAAACTTTTGTACAGTAATCTGATTTATAACCTTTTGCATTCTTACCAAACTATGCTACAGGTGGGGTTTTGTTCAATTTTTGCTGTAGTCCTAATTTTATTCCATCTTATGGTCAAATTTGTTGCTGCACACAACCTATTGACAAGTTACGTTAATAAATATTTCATACAATTAGGATTTTATAAAGTATCGACGCAATCCCTTCATATTACTTACGACGTATCTACATCAAATGTTGTCAAATTAGATATTCTGAAATTAAACAAAAACACAAAAACACCGCTTTAGCTTATGAACGTTGGTAAATGCATGGTAATGTACATTGTATATCTCTACAAAAAATTCTTTCGACATTTCTGATTTAAACTTGAAAGAAGAGACAGATGTGGAAATGATTAAACTTTCATTCTTTATTTTGCTGTAGTTCTGATAGATAAAGTATTGTTTTAATCACTATTACTTAGACAACAGTTGTAATACGTTTTGCATGTAAAAGATGATGGTTATAGCAAGTCAGGGAAATTAAATTCATTGCATAAGAACAAAAGGACAGTTTAAAAAATGGATGTTCAATAGGAACATAACGTTTCTATAATATATCTTAATCGAAGATTTGATGTAGTCAAGTGATATATTATCAATCCTGGTATTTTTCATTGTACTAAATTAATCCTGTATTGCTGTTCATCGATGCATTGTATTCATCAAAGAAACCTAAAGATAAAAGTGATGTGCTTGAGTGTTATTAATTTAAAACAGTGGTATCGTTTGAACGCTGTTTAGCTCCCATTCCGTAAAATCAAACATAGTCATAGCGCCGTCAGCACGGGTTAGAAACGGAAAAAACAGGAAGTAGGCCCATCGGTCAAGGCCTCGCAGCGCGTGATATACCGGAAACGACATAGAAAACAAGATGGCGATCTCGGGGTACAGCTGATTTGGATCTTCCTGTGCCTACGACGAATAAGAGACACTTGCGGCTAAATCACAACTCCCCTTTGCGACCAACGGTGTGTAAGGCTGTCAACTTAATTTGCCATTTCATTTTTCCTTTGTTGTGTAAAGCTAATTTAATCGTAATACAACAACAGTCTCAAAGCAACTACAACCAAATTAGGTCTATTACATCTGCTTCTCCCGCTGGGCGGCGCTTTGTCATCTACTGGGTTTTTGGAGCTGCGCGTGACCCTGAGCTCGTGCCGTAGCCTCGACTTAGCCTCTGGCCACAGAGAGATGAGTGGGAATGGAGGGTGGTGAGCGACGGGGGAGGTTCCTTGCAAAGGAATCCGGCTATTTTAGTTAATAGATTCTAAACTAACAGTCGAACACTTCGGTTGAGCTTTGTTTGTCGTGTCTTTCAAGGCATAAGATGTCTTGATTTACAAGAGAAATCCGTTTGGACACTTTGATTGAAAGCGCCACTCGGTCTTCAATTTCTATTCAGAAGGAACGTTCTTCCTTATAGACGAGTTTTATGATTGAATATCTGGCATTATAACTGCATTTTGAATGGGTTATTTTGATTGGCTTGAAAAAGGACATGTATATGTTGAGAAAGAACAGTTCAAAACATGAAATTTTGCAATTGTATATATACATATACATGTATACTCATTGCATCGTAGGATAACAGAATCAAGTCCATATCCGTTTGCGTGTAAAAAGACATCGGTAACATTTCCAATAAAAATATTTTTGAGAGGAAATATGAAGAAAATCCTTTTTCATTTTCATTGAGATGAGGACCTACATTATAACAGTTAACTTTGACACGATACAATGTACATGATATATGTAGGACTGAAGCGTTTAGATAAAGGTGAACGTTACTGACGTATCTGTACCTAAAATAGTTCATATGTGTGTTTATTAAAAAATCGCACACTTTCTAGGAACATTGACCCAGGGAATGTACATGAAACGTTTAAACTTCATTTAAACTTTTAAAGTGTGAGTCTCGCTTCACAGGAAATTGCAACTTCCTTTGAATAAACGAAAGAAAATTGAAATAACTCCTCCAATTTGTTAGTAATGGTTGTGTAACGTGGTTGAGTTATATCGGGGCTACTCGGGTGCACCAATACATGGTCAGTCATCCGGGTCATTGATCATAGTCCCGGGCTTAATGTACCATACGCCATCTATTGGTTTTTATGATACCATGAGCAGAAGGCCCAGACAGAAAACTGCACATCTACCAGTTAAACTGTATATGTACAATACAACTACAGAGCCAATCTATTTTTTCTCACATTTTAACGTTTGTATAATGATTCTCAAATTTTGTTTTCGCCTCAGGAGAAATGTACGCCTACTTTTGGTTGATGTATACAGGAGAAAGCAATCGCTACAACGATTATTACATTATTTTTCATATGAACAGCATTGTCTACAGTCTATACGACCCATCTTTTGATTACTTTATCTTCGATATTTATATATTTCTTTTTTTCCATTCAATCCACTTACAAGATTGCATATTGTTTTTGTTTTAAAACCTCAAATTTAATTGTTCCATCATAATCCCTTTTCATCAGCTACAAATGTATGTCCGTTAAGTGTATTCACACGTATGGTTTACATGAAGCTAAAGTATGTCAGCTTGAGAATGTCAGTTTGATAATTCAGTATTTTTATGGAATGGAGACTTGAATTCAGTTGGTTATACGTTTATCA